GTTACAACGTGTGCACCACCATTTTAAGGTTCTGCAATTGTTGGAAGGGGCACAACTGGCATATCAGTCAAAGCTGGTCCTAAGAATGCCTGACCATCACATCTACCTGGGCTTACATTTCCTTAGCTAAAATTGTTTTTGAAGGCATGGAGAAATATATATTGCGTGTCATTAGTGTAATTATAGCAACTTGCCCCGTGCCTCCAGATGATCTCTCCTGGCACAGTGGATAAATAAAATAAGGGAGATAAAAGAAATGGACAAATTAACGTTTTTATTAAAGAAAAACTGAGGAAACCCGATCAGACATACAAACTGGTCATGGATAGAGGAATACGAAAAAATGAGAAAATAAAAGGATCACTAAAAGAAATTTTATTAAATGGAAACATTAGAAAAAAATTAATTTACGTTAAAGTCAAGAACTTTTCTTTTTTTACTTTCAATACAGAACATTATTGAATGAATAAGCTTAAACCCGCAAAGGATTAAATGGAAGTCACCAGCCCTTTCTTATATGCCTTTTTTCTCTTCTTTTTCTTCCTTTTTCTGTTTTTAAACCTATTTTTTCTACTTTTTCTTCATATTATTGTTCTCCCACTTTGGTTCTATAGCAAAATGTCTTAAACACTTAAACATAGGGCCCAATCCTGAGCTAAAATCTATGTCATCTCTCAAAAAACAAATTAGTGGGGCAGAACCTTTATCTTGGCTTTTCCTTTCTTTCCCCATCCCCAAAATTGATTATATTCACTTTTGTTGCTGAAAAAAGTGATTAGTAAGGAAAATCAAAACGGATGATGGTAGTGGTACTAAAGGCTTTCTAATACGTAAAATGACTTTTGAACCTTTCTTCTCTGGATTATGAATTTAACCTTGGGGACCAATTCAAAGATATTGTATAATTGTTTTAAATTGGGTAGAGTTTAACCTCCCCATGAGATATGACTATACTTGTACTATTTATGAAGCTTTTGCCAACTTTTCTATGAGTTTTTGCCAGTTTGCCAAATTTGACTCCAGGATTGATACTGGAATAGCCTGAAACAAGAACAAAAATATAGGTGAAAGGTGGCCTTGGACAATGGTTAGTCTGCCCAACAGGGACAACTGTAGATTAAACTATTCCATTCACTTTTGCATAATATAACTAAATATGTACTTGTAACTGATGGGTCCATTTGGTGGGAACATGGCAGAGGTCTGAACGTCCCTTCCCAGACAAGAGATCCGGGCATCCCTTTAATGATTTTCCACAATTTCCTCTTCCAAGAGATCTTCGGATATTGATTTTGCAGGCCATGTATAATTTATTGGAGTCTTATTTCTTTTAATTGTTTTTTAATTTGTTATCAAATCAATTCTCTGTTTTAATTGTCTAAATGTTTGTTTAAGTTGTAATTGTTTATTCGTTCAGTCGTTTCCAACTCTTCATGACCTCATGGACCAGCCCATGCCAGAGCTCCCTGTCAGCCGTCACGACCCCCAGCTCCTTCAGGGTCAAGCCAGCCACTTCAAGGATACCATCCATCCCTCTTGCCCTTGGTCGGCCCCTCTTCCTTTTTCCTTCCATTTTCCCCAGCATCATTGTCTTCTCTAAGCTTTCCTTTCTCCTCATGATGTGGCCAAAGTACTTCATCTTGGCCTCTAATATCCTTCCCTCCAATGTGCAATCAGGCTTTATTTCCTGAAGGCTTTTGCGCTTTCTTCTATCACCTTGATTAGAAGACTTCTCAACGCCTTCTTGCTTTTGGCCATCATGTGTATATCTAAGGTTGTTAATATTTCTTCCAGCAATTTTTACCCCAGCCTTGCATTCGTCAAGTACTGCACATCACATGATGTGTTCTGCATACAAGTTGAATAGGTTGGGTGAGAGTATACAACCCTGCCGTACGCCTTTCCCAATCCTGAACCAGTCCTGTTTTTCCATGGTCAGTTCTTAGTGTTGCTACTTAGTCATTATACAGATTCCTCAGGAGAGAGACAAGGTGATTTGGTATGCCCATACCACCAAGTACTTGCCACCGTTTATTATGATCCATACAGTCAAAGGTTTTAGAATAGTCAATAAAACAGAAATCATGTTTTTCTGAAACTCCCTGCCTCTCTATGTTCTATGTTTAATATGATTTTAATTGGTTTAATTTATAGTTATATGTTATCGTTTTAGTTATTATGCTTGGTTTTGTATATATGTTGGGATTGAATCTTGTCATTATTTGATGTACACCATTTTGAGTCTCCCCAGAGGTGAGAGAAGTGGTATATAACCACAGTAAATAAATATCACTAGTTTCAGATCTTGTTGGGCAACTATCCTATTTGTATGGATTCGGAAAGGGGCCGTTGCTTCCCTGGAGCTTGGTGCCCCTTTGTTTACACCGTTGCTTTAAGAACGCAGTTCCGAACCAGATCCAGTGCTGCCCATTCCGTTGCCACGGTCCGGTGGAAGGGAGACATTCTGCTTCCCTGACTCGGTCTGTCTCGGTTTGTTTCTTCTGTCGCTATCATCGGTGAAAATGGCCTTCCAAGTCCTTCTTAAAGTAAGTATGGTCAATAAACATTAAGGCCATAAGGTTTTAAATTTTTGTGTGTGATTGCTTATATGTGAGTTATATTAATTGTACTGTTTTATTTGCTTGTTGTCTTGTTGTTTTACTGATGTGTTGTTGGGCTTGGCCTCATGTATACCGCCCTGAGTCCCCTTGGGGAGATGGTGGCAGGGTATAAAGTATTATTATTATTATTTATTTATTTATTTATTTATTTATTTATTTATTAAGGCCAATACTCATATCTTCTTAATAAAATAATCTTTATTTTCTTAAAAGAAATACAGAGATTGATAGAGATAGTGTTGGAAACTTTTAAAACTTGTAAAAGTTTCTCACTATGCTGGGGGAAAAAGAAGAGGGGGAGAAAGGGGGGGGGAAGAGAGGGGGTGAAAGTATAGATATCATAGAAAGTATCCAGTTTGTCCTGTTGTCCAGGGTCCCGTTGCGTTGAGGGAGCTCTGGTTTCTTATTGTGTGTGCAGTGTAAGAAAAGAGATTAGAAATGCATAGTGGGGGGTGAGGTGGTGTGTGGTTATTGTAGATGTTGTGCTTGACTTCCTGGTATCCTCTGGAGGATTTTAATCCTTTTCCTTCTTCTTTCTTCTTTCTCCTTCATTTTTTGTCTTGCTCTCCCCTAATTCTATGTTCTCAATCCTGTCCCTTTAAATGATTATTCTCATATTCTTTTCTTTTATTAGGAATGTTGTTACATGCTTCCAATCTATTTCCGCCATCGGAGTGCCCTTCTTTTTTGATAATATGTACGTCAGCTTATCCATGTTTCTTATGTCTAATATTTTGGTTAACCATTCTTCTTCATCAGGAGGATCTTTCTTTTTCCAGTGTTTCGCATATGTTATTCTGGCTGCTGTTGTCAAGAGGAATAAAATTTTGTCTTTGTTTTTTTCCATTTTCATATTGTGTATTCCTAGTAGGAAGGTTTCTGGTTTTTGGGGAATATTTATCTCTAATATGTTTTGTAACGTTTTATGTATTTTCTTCCAGTATGATGTTGCTTTCGGACAGGTCCACCATATGTGATAGTACATCCCTTCTTGTTCTCCGCATTTCCAACATTTTGTATTTGTGTTTTTGTTAAATTTTCCTAATCTGTGCGGTGTGATATACCACCTATGGGCCATCTTAATCCAATTTTCTTTGAGCTCCATTGCTTTTGAATATTTTAATTTCCTATTCCATACTTCTTCCCATTCTTCTTTCCTTATTTCTCTTCCCAGATTATCCCTCCATTTTTTTCATATAATTTTTTCCTTCTTCTTTCTTGTTTTCTTCTTCTATAAGTTTCTTGTATATTTTAGAGATTAGTTTATTTTCTGTTTGCATTATTTTGTCCCAAAAGTTTTTTCCTTCCTCAAATCCTTTTTATTTGTCATTTTGCTTTAATTTGTTCATATTGGTACCAGGAGATTCTGGAATTTATACTTTTTAATTCCTCTTGAGTTTTCATCTTAAATTCTCCTCCTTCCTTTCTTATTATATCTTTATATTTGGGCCAATCGTACCATCCTGTTATTCTTCTCTGTGATGCTTCAAGTGGAGATAGCCAAGTTGGTATGTTTTCATAGAATTTATTTTTATGTCTGTTCCATATTTTGATTAGAGAGGAACGAACGAAGTGGTCTCTGAAGTTTTTTTCCTTTTTCGCCTGATCATATCCAACATATGCGTGCCATTCTAGCCTTAACCCTTCTCCTTCTATATTTAGAATTTTCTCCTTCTCTAGTTTAGTCCAATCTCTTATCCAGGTCAGCGCGCAGGCATCGTGGTATGATTTAATGTCTGGGGTTGCTAGGCCTCCTTTGTTTTTCCCTTCTATCATGTTTTTGTAATTTATTCTTGGTTTTTTTTCCCTGCCAAATGAATCTCATTATATCTTTTTTCCAATCGTTTAATACTTTTTGATTTCTGATTATAGGTAAATTTTGAAATAAAAATACTAATTTTGGGAGTATTGACATCTTTATAGTTGCTATTCTCCCCAGGAGAGACAGTTTCATGTTTCCCCATTTTTTTAGATCTTTTTTTTTTTATCTTTTTCCATTTTTCTATGTAGTTGTTTTCTAATACTCATATCTTCTTTGAGTATCATCTCATGGCCTTCCAGTCTCCACCCCCAGCTCTTGCCCATTAAAAGGTCATTTTCATCATTATAATTATCAAAATATTTGTTTTAGATCCTAATTATCTAAACATGTAATTTAATCTGTTAGTAAGTTTCTTAAAAGTGTTTTTAGTCAGCCTATCCTATTATAACCATCTTCTTCTGATTCTTTATAAATTCCATGAAGAGTTTCCATTTTTCCTAAAATGTTTGGGTGTTTGCCTGTTGTCAAGCCAAAACAGCACTGGCCGCAAAACAGCTGCTCTCGCAAGGCAACTCCTCTTCCCTCTGACCTTGTCCTCTTTTCTCCTTTGCAGAACATCAGGAAGTTCTGTGAGGACTGTTTTTCATGCTGCCGGAGGAGGAGAAGTAATCGAGTGGCTCCAGCCAGGTATCCCCCTTTCTCCTTCTCATCTATTTGTTTTAATTTAATTAAAACATCCTTGATCAAGGTTCAGTTGCTGACATTTTGCTGTTTTCTCTTCTTTTCTAGTGAACCAGAAGAAACAAAAGTATCCTCCTCCGAGGACTCCTGGGATTTGGAGACTTGGGTAAGGAGGGAAAGGCAGGAGCACTGTACTTCTGCGAAGAGGAGAAGATCAGAATTTGAACAAAGTCTCCTCTCTCTCGTTTGCAGCGTTTCTGGAGGGTATCAGCCCCGCAGACCTGGACGCAAGGAGTGAGGACTCCCTTCAAGAGGAGTCCTTTGAATCCTGGGTAAGGAGCAAAAGGCAGGAGGACTGTCTCTCTGCCAAGGGGAAGGGGAGGAAGTCTCCCAAGTGTCACTTTGCTCTTCTCTTTCTTTCGCAGTGCACCATCACTAAGAAGTCCGAGGAAGACCTGCGCACGGACGCACTTTGGAGCCAGCAGCCTCAGAAAGAGAAGTAACTTCTTCTCCCTTTTTGGGTGGGGGTTGGGTCTTCGCGTGGAGCTGGAGGAGTCTTTGGATTTTAAGTTCTTACATGTTTATTTTTTGTTTCTCTTAGTGCAACATCAGATATTCAAATTGAAGATTTAGAGTAAGAAGAAGATCTGAGACTGCTGGCTCCAAAGTGTGTCCGTCGCGCTGCCCAGGATTCAAAGGACTCCTTGGAATGGGGTCCTCACTCCTTTCCTCCCGGTTTGGCTGCGGTGCTGATACCATCCAGAAACGCTAAAGCAACAGATTGTCCTCCTCTTGGTAAAAAAATCCTTGTTTTATATTGTGTATGATTTCTATAGTTTATTTTTTACTAAAAATGTAAAAAGTAGTATAATGCTCCTGCCTTTTGCTCCTTACTCAAGAGTCATGTAAATGTTTTTCTCTCAACAGGCTTAACTCAATCCTCAAGACGCAGAGAAGAGGAGGAGGAAGAGTGGCGGCTGCGCTGCGCCTCTCCTCCGCCCGGGAACAGCAAGGCAGAGCCTCGCTCCTCAGGAGAGACGAAGGATATTGGAGTTGAAGCCCAGATGAGTAGCTGGCTCTTCAAGCAGCTGAAAATCCACTTGGAACAGGAATGGAAGTACCAACCACGAGAAAAGGGGCTGAGCTTGATTGAGTGTACTGCTGAGAATGAAAACACCATATGCCCCAGACTGCGAAATGCAAAGGTGGAAGATCTCTGGAGTCTGACAAACTTCTTTGGATTTGCCACTGAAACATTTGTCTTGGCTGTCAACATTCTAGATAGATTTTTGGCACTTATGAAGGTGAAACCTAAGCATTTGTCCTGCATTGGCGTCTGTTGTTTTCAATTGGCTGCTCAAGTGGTTGAAGAGCAATGCAACGATGTCATCCGAATTAGCCAGTGCAAATGCACAGCATCTGATCTGAAGCGGATGGAGAAAATAATTTCAGAAAAACTGCACTTTGACTTCAAAGCTACTACTGCCTTAACCTTTTTGCACTTGTACCATACTATAGTACTCTGTCATACCTCAGAAAGGAAAGAATGGTTGAATCTCGACAAACTGGAAGCACAATTTAAAGCTTGTAACTGCCGACTAGTCTTCTCAAAAGCAAAACCATCGGTCTTGGCCCTGTGCCTTCTGTCTCTGGAAGTGCAGACTCTAAAGTCCATTGAGTTGTTTGAGATTGTTCTGTGTGTTCAGAAGTATTCAAAGATAAGTGACAGTGACTTACTGTATTGGAGAGAACTGGTCTCGAAATGCTTAGCAGATTACTCTTCTCCTGCCTGCTGCAAACCAGACCATAAACATTTAGTATGGATTGTTTCAAGATGCACTGCCCAAAATCTTAAAAATAGCTGCTATAGTGTTCCTGAGTTGCCCACAATTCCTGAGGCTGGGTGCTCTGATGGAAGTGAGAATGAGGATTCTTGTGAAGATATGAGCTGCGGAGAAGAAAGCCTGAGCAGCTCTCCCCCAAGCGACCTGGAAGGCTCCTTCTTCTTTGACCTCAAACCGAAGTCAAAGTGGCCGGCTCTCTCCTTTGACTCCTAGGTCGGGCTCTTAGTGCATTACAGTACTTAGGCAATACGTATCTGAGCACCCTCTGGACCTTGGCACAAGGCCTCATTGAGTACTCAAAACATGTACTGCGCTTTCCTCCTTAGTGCGATAAATCAGATTGTAGCAAAGTAGCATTTAGGGGCCGTCTTCATCGGCAAGTATTCACGAGTGCATGCCGCCTGCCATCAGGCGATACGATAGCTGGCGTGCTTGATATGCACTTGAATGCTCTGCTGAAATTAGAGACTGAGGCTTAAATTTGTTTTATATAGTACTTTTATAATGTTTTATACCGGTGTCCTTTTATACTGTGTTATATTATTGCTTTTTATTGTTGTAAAAAGATAGGAGAATTTATAAATGACTGTTCACGGATGGGTCTATGGACCGTAAAAAAAGTTGTTGTATATACTATAGTTATTTTTTGGATATTGTTCTATCTGTGTGAATATGAATTACCTTTTTTCTGAGCATTGATAAACAGATGGATGGATGGCATATGTACAGATTAAAATTTTATGAAGAATTACTATAATTTAGACTTCTTGATGAATTGTTTCTCACTTGTTTCACATTAAAACTGAGCATCTTCCAAGGTTGCCTTTGTGCTCTCTGATGATCAAGGCCTTACAATTACAAGGGAAAGCTTGGAATTGATTGTGAGGCTCAGGCTCCTTCTACAATGCTATATAATCCAGATTATCACAGCAGATAATCCACATTATCTGCTTTTAACTAGATTATATTAGTCTAGACTGTCATATAATCCAGTTCAAAGTAGATAATGTGGATTTTATATGGCAGTGTAGAAGAGGCCTCAGTCCAAACTCACAACATAGTTGCTGCTCCTGCTCCTGAGGGAGGCCTGCCTGCAGGTACGTTTTCTTAAAAAAACAAAGGATTTATTGCATAAAATAACAACTAAAACAGAAAACATTCTGACTAACATGAAACTTTTTTTTGCCTTGGAGAACTCAACTATAATACTATCTTAATATTGTTATATCCATGTCTTAATATTGTTATATGGATACAAAGAATCATAGAGTTGGAAGAGACCTCATGGGCCATCTAGTCCAACCCCCTGCCAAGGAGCAGGAATACTGCATTCAAAGCACCCCCGTCAGATGGCCATCCAGCCTCTGTTTAAAAGCCTCCAAAGAAGGAGCTTCCACCACACTCCAGGGCAGAGAGTTCCACTGCTGAACGGCTCTCACAGTCTGGAAGTTCTTCCTAATGTTCAGATGGGATCTCCTTTCTTGTAGTTTGAAGCCATTGTTCCGTGTCCTAATCTCCAGAGCAGCAGAAAACAAGCTTGCTCCCTCCTCCCTATGACTTCCTCTCGCATATTTAAACATGACTATCATGTCTCCTCTTAGCCTTCTCTTCTTAAGGCTAAACATGCCCAGCTCTTTAAGCCGCTCCTCGTAGGGCTTGTTATCCAGACCCTTGATCATTTTAGTCGCCGTCCTCTGGACACATTCCAGCTTGTCAGCATCTCCTTTCAATTGTGGTGCCCAGAATTGGGCACAATATTCCAGATGTGGTCTAATCAAGGCAGACTAGAGGGGTAGCATTACTTCCCTAGTTCTAGACACTATGCTCCTATTGATGCAGACCAAAATTCCATTGGCTTTTTTTGCTGCCGCATTACATTGTTGGCTCATGTTTAACTAGTTGTCCACGAGGACTCCAAGATCTTTTTCACACGTACTGCTCTCGAGCCAGGCATTGTCCCCCATTCTGTATCTTTGCATTTCATTTTTTCTGCCTAAGTGGAGTATCTTGCATTTGTCACTGTTGAACTTCATTTTGTTAATTTTGGCCCATCTCTTTAATCTGTTAAGATAGTTATGAATTCTGCTCCTGTCTTCTGGAGTATTGACTATCCCTCCCAATTTGGTGTTGTTGGCAAACTTGATGATCATGCCTTCTAAGAAATGGGTTCAAATTACAGGAAAGGAGATTCCATCTGAACATTAAGAAGAACTTCCTAACTGTGAGCGCTGTTCAGCAGTGGAACTCTCTGTCCCGGCATGTGGTGGAGGCTCCTTCTTTGGAAGCTTTTAGACAGAGGCTGGATGGCCATCTGTCGGGGGTTATTTGAATGCAATTTTCCTGCTTCTTGGCAGGGGGTTGGACTGGATGGCCCATGAGGTCTCTTCCTACTCTTTGATTCTATAATTGAGTCCTAGTTTCATGGGCAGCAGGAAACAAGCCTGCCTGCTCCCTCTTCCTTATGGCATCCATTCACATATTGTCAAAGCTCTCATGGCCGAAATCACTGGGTTGCTGTGAGTTTTCCAGGCTGAATGACCATAATCCAGAAGCATTCTCTCCTGAGGTTTCACCTGCATCTATGACAGGCATCTTCAGAGCTTTGTTCAGAAGTTGTGTGAGAATGAAGCAAGTGGGATGTACATATATCTGTGAAATGTCCATCACATTTGCCTCAAACTGACAAGAATTCGTTCTCCCATCCTGGACATTCCACAGATAGATAGATAGATAGATAGATAGATAGATAGATAGATAGACAGACAGATAGATAGATAGATACACACACACACATCCCACTTGCCTCATTCCCACAGATCCTTATAACATCCTTTCACATATTGTTGAAGGCCGGAATCACTGGATTGCTGTTTCCCAGTCTGTGTGGCCATGATCCAGAAGCATTCTCTCCTGACTTTTCACCTGCATCTATGGCAGGCATCTTCAGAGGTTGTGAGGTCTCTGAAGACCTCACAACTTCTGAGAATGCCTGTCATAGATGTAGACAAAACGCAGCCCAAAATCCCATCGGCTTTTAAAGCTGTTTTTGGTTCATGTTCAACTTGTCTGCTAACACTCCAAGATCTTTTTCACATGGACTATTGTCAAGCCAGGTGTCACCCATCCTGTATCTGTACATTTCATTTTTTTCTGCCTAAGTGTGGTATCCTACACTTAGGCAGAAAGCACCTGGCCCACTCTTCCCCTTTCTTCCAACTTCTTTGATTTTGGCCCCAGACCACTCCTCGCAATCTGTCTTGTCTTTTGGAGGAAACGTTTCAAGCTGTTAGAGCATCCTGCCTGTTTTTCCCCATCTTCCGCTTCTTCCTCCCAAGGTACACTGACATCCCTTCAGGTCTTCAATAATCTTCAGTATAAATGAAAAGTTCAGACTTGTCCTCAAAAGACCTCTTTAGGGAGGAAGTGTCATGTAAGTACCCCTGTGGGAGTCTCCTCAAATGTGGTGGAAGCTCCTTCTTTGGAAGCTTTTAAACAGAGGCTGGACGGCCATCTGTCGGGAGTGCTTTAGTTGTGCTTTTCCTGCATGGCAGGGGGATGGACTAAATGGCCCGTGTGGTCTCCTCCAACTCTTGTGTTTTGGGGGCTCCTTCTGTGGCGCTTGGGCGGTGCTTTGCTTATAGAATCATAGAATCATAGAGTTGGAAGAGACCTTGTGGGCCATCCAGTCCAACCCCCTGCCAAGAAGCAGAAAATTGCATTCAAAGTACCCCCAACAGATGGCCATCCAGCCTCTGTTTAAAAGCTTCCAAAGAAGGAGATTCTACCACACTCTGGGACAGAAAGCTTGTGCTTTACCTGCCGAGCAGAATGGTAGGACTGACTGGCCCCATCCAAGGCCATGCTTTAGTCCATGGCCTCACATGAACCCAGCCTTTGTGGTGTTTCCTCTCATTAGGAAGAACATCCTGACTGTAAGATCTGTTCAAGAGTGGAACTCTCTGCCTGGGAGTGTGGTAGAAGCTCCTTCCTTGGAAGCTTTTAAACAGAGGCTGGATGGCCATCCGTCAGGGGTGCTTTGATTGTGCTTTTCCTGCATGGCAGGAGGATGGACTAGATGGCCTATTTGGTCTCTTCCAACTCTCTGCCTGGGAGTGTGTTGGGGGCTCCTTCTGTGGAGCTTGGAGAGGGTGCTTTACCTGCCTAGCAGAATGTTTGGGCTGGCTGGCCCCATCCAAGGCCATGCTTCAGTCCATGGCCTCACATGAACCCAGCCTTTGTGGTGTTTCCTCTCATTAGGAAGAACATCCTGACTGTAAGATCTGTTCAAGAGTGGAACTCTCTGCCTGGGAGTGTGGTAGAAGCTCCTTCCTTGGAAGCTTTTAAACAGAGGCTGGATGGCCATCCGTCAGGGGTGCTTTGATTGTGCTTTTCCTGCATGGCAGGAGGATGGACTAAACTCCCTGCCTCGGAGTGTGTTGGGGGCTCCTTCTATGGAGCTTGGAGGGTGCTTTGCTTGTGCTTTACCTGCCGAGAAGAATGTGGTGGAAGCTCCTTCCTTGGAAGCTTTGAAACTGGGGCTGGATGGCCATCTGTCGGGGGTGCTTTGGTTGTGCTTTTCCTGCATGGCAGGAGGATGGACTAAACTCCCTGCCTCGGAGTGTGTTGGGGGCTCCTTCTATGGAGCTTGGAGGGTGCTTTGCTTGTGCTTTACCTGCCGAGAAGAATGTGGTGGAAGCTCCTTCCTTGGAAGCTTTGAAACTGGGGCTGGATGGCCATCTGTCGGGGGTGCTTTGGTTGTGCTTTTCCTGCATGGCAGGAGGATGGACTAAACTCCCTGCCTCGGAGTGTGTTGGGGGCTCCTTCTATGGAGCTTGGAGGGTGCTTTGCTTGTGCTTTACCTGCCGAGAAGAATGTGGTGGAAGCTCCTTCCTTGGAAGCTTTTAAACTGGGGCTGGAAGGCCATCTGTCGGGGGTGCTTTACTTGTGCTTTTCCTGTATGGCAGGGTGATGGACAAAATGGGCCGTCTGGTCTCCTCCAACTCCCTGCCTCAGAGTGTATTGGGGGCTCCTTCTGTGGAGCTTGGAGGGTGCTTTACCTGCCGAGCAGAATGGTCGGTCTGGCTGGCCCCATCCAAGCCCATGCTTCCTTCCATGGCCTGACGTGAACCCAGCCTTCATGGTGCTTCCTCTCATTAGGAAGAACATCCTGACTGTAAGATCTGTTCAAGATCTCTTCCTGGGAGTGTGGTGGAAGCTCCTTCCTTGGAAGCTTTGAAACAGAGGCTAGGTGGCCATCTGTCTGGGGTGCTTTGATGGTGCTTTTCCTGCTTGGCAGGAGGAAGAACTAGATGGTCCACGTGGAGTGTGTTGGGGGCTCCTTCTATGGAGCTTGGAGGGTGCTTTACCTGCCTAGCAGAATGGTCGGTCTTTTAAACAGAGCTTTTAAACAGAGGCTGGATGGCCATCTGTCGGGGGTGCTTTGATTGTGCTTTTCCTGCTTGGCAGGAGGATGGACTAAACTCTC